CCCAGCCGTCCTCAGCCTCTGAGACCAGCCAACACTGGCCTTTGGCCTTAACTTCCTATTCCTGAACAACCATGAGCTCCCACATTCATCAGAACTATTCCACCAAGGTGGAGGCTGCTGTCAACCACCTGGCCAACCTGCCTCTGCAGGCCTTCTACTCCTACCTCTCTCTGGGCTTCTATTTCCACCAAGGTGATGTGGCTCTGAAGAGTGTGGGCTACTTTATCCTCGAGTTGGCAGAGAAGAAGCTCAAGGACACCAACCATCTCTTAAGGCAGCAAAACCAGCCCAGTGGCTGCATTCTCTTCCAGGACGTGCAGATGCCTTCCCCAGGTGCCTGGGGTGACACTCAGGACGCCATGCAAGCTGCTATGGTCTTCAAGAAGAGCCTGAACCAGAAGGAGGTAAAGGTTTACTTCCTAAGGGATGAATACCTGACAATTCCATGCTGCATGAATACAGGGGTGGGCAAAAGTAGGATTACAATGGTATGAGAAACACAGTTTATTCTTGTATTATTACTTATATATTAATTATTGTATTATTCATTTCTATTATTTGTCTTATTATTTGTTATTATTTTATATCCTTATGATTTATCTTTTAGGAAATGATGGCTGGTAAATTAATCTGCTTTTGCCCACCCCTGTATTTTCAGCAACCAGGAGATTAACCTTTGATGAATAGCTCTAATTGTTAGTGATTTATTTCCAGTTCTTGGGCAAAACTCTACTTCAATTTAATGTGTACCCATTGACTTCAGCTTTCATGTCTTGCCTTAATCATTCTTCTCTAGGTGAAATGTACCTAGCTTCTTCAGATATTCTTAGTCTATGATGGTTTCCAGCCCCATCACCATCTTGCATGCCTCCCCCAGATCTGTTCCCACTTATCGATGTCCCAATTAGCAAGTGGGGCTCAGGATAGAACAAAATACTCTATATACATGTTGGGAACCATCCCATCTTGTTTCAGAAACTGTAGCCCCTCCAACAGGCAGGAGGGCCCCAAGGCTGGAAATAATCAAGGAAAACAGGCCACTGAGGAGACAAAACCTGTCCCCCTGGCAAGGGTGCAGCCCCTGCCTCCCTCACATCACCCTGCTTGGCCCTGTGATGGTTGGTAGTCAATGACGGGTAAGATTCCTCACAAGGAGGGATGGCCTAAGACACACACGGCCAGTATGAGCAGCAGACAAGGACTTGGGAGACATGGAGAAAGGGCAAAAAGGCCCGCACCCCTCAGCTCAGCTTGGACTTGGCCTGAGTCCTCATTCTATCTGAAAGAAGTCTCCTTGTCTCTTGGTGGCTCTGCCCTGCCCACCTGGCTCAGGCTTGAAACAATACCAAAGGTAGATACAGCCCCAAAACTGAATCGGGCGGTTCCTGGGGGACAATCAGGCCTAGAAGTAAGTTCCTCTAAGCATGCTTTCATCTTCCCTCAAAAAACGATGATAACCGGCTCATACTGGAAAGCAGATTTACATTATTCATAGACCCTGACCTGAGGCAGATCTCCTGTGTTCCTCCAATTGTTATCTATGATCTCTATTTATTTTCTGTAAACATAGCCTTTTGACTTTGATTGATGAGCTTTGTTGTATATCCCAGTGCATATGGTTCAAATAAACGCGTTTGGACAGTGGGGCTGGGGCCTTCTCCCCTAGAGGGAAGAGCCATGTCCCCTCTCCTGGCAGACAGAGAAGTGTTTGCAATGACTCGTGTTTATTCCCCCATCTGTGACACCCCCGGGATGGGCTCTGCGGGATTCAGAGCCCCGCCCCCTCCTCAGCTGGCTCTGGACAGTGACCCTCAGATCCAGGAGCGCCCCGTGTGGCCCTCCCCGCAACACATACAGGCTGGTCTAGACATAGTAGGTACAGCAAGACTGTTTGCTCCCACTTCTGAACAGTATCCTACTCTCCGTGGTGGAGAAGTTCTCCATTTTTTAGAAATTGGGTTTCAATTCAACCTGCATTTGTATTTATGTTCCATTTGTAGTTTATGAGTATGATATCACTTGTATTATTTTATATTAAGTCCCCTTTTCCTATTAACTCCTAACAAAACAAGCTTCTTCCATCTTAGGTATGTGAATCAAAAGCAAGACTTTGTTTTCTATCTTCTTGGTCTTGACCTAGAGACTCCACCTGGGCTCTTAGAACACTCTCATATACCTAACTGAATATTCTTCCTGCTTTATTCATCTTGAGATAGTACAAGCTAATCTACTATGTCTTCATCCCAGTCACTAGGAAGCGAGAGGTAAACAGAAACAAGACAACTTTTTAATAGTTGCTTTGTCAGCCTGACCTCATCTCCCAATCACGTTAACTTTGACACTGTACATAAATGAAACCCTTTGTTAGGTGCTGTGATAAAAATCAAGACTCTGATAGATCCTGGGGCCCTTCCCCCAATGCAGCCCTGAAAGGGAGGAGATTCTGTGCTTGTAACATCTCCCAGAGCTACCAAGCTGGTAATGCTATTTATGAAGATAGGCCCACATCTTCTCCCATAGAGTTACTTCTCTAAACCCATTTCCTTATTTGTAAAATGAGAACATTTGCCCTACTCCCTTTACGAGGTATTAGTAAGAATCAAGTGGTGTAAGAGGACATCTGAAAATGCTTTGCAAATTTTAACTTGCCACAGAAATCTAAATGATAGTGATGATTCGTTACTAATGTTGAGTGCAAGTAATTTACGCCTGATGTACCTCCTTACTGCTGTGTGCAATGTCTGTTAGCCCATCAGTTCCTGACTCAACACTGAATCCAGGTTTCTGATCTGCTCTGCCTTCCTGTTGGACCTACCCCTTCTGACCCTTAACATAGATCGACACTCAGATTATGGTTTTCTTGTTTCCTTCTGTTGCCATTTTCAGTTTTGGACCTGGATATACATCAGGGCTTGTTGCACAACACTCAGTTCCCATGTGACAATACCAACCGTGGGCAGGCTCCTCAATTCAGTGCCCAGCTGAGTGTCCAACACCCAGGGACACTTAGTTTGTTAGAGAAATGACTAAATAACTGAATGAAAAATAGAGGAAGGTTGCCTTCATTCTCACCTCTGTACCTTTACTATGTTTTAATTCTCTCATGGATAGACAGGCAGAAAAACAGAGAGACAAATACATTCACAGAGAGACACACAGATAGATAGACGACCAGTTAGACAGACAGGTAGACAGAATGACGATATGTAGATCAAATGAAATACCATATACAAAAGCATGTTTTAAATGTTCTTGTTAATACCATTTGCCTTTATTCAAGGCTGATTTTCAACAGATCCTCACTGGCATCATTGTGGCAGATTGAACTGGATAGAAAATAACCACAGCCCCAAACACCCTGAGTGCTTCACCATTCTGCCACCTTCTAAGACTTGTCCCTCCTAAAGGGCTCCCTGAGTGTCCCATAACCTAACAACTTAGGAGTAACTCCAGGCTCAGCAAGAAGCTTCCAGGAGATTCCCCAGCATTTGGATTTAGTGTCCATTCTGGTCAGCCAATGCCACTGCCAGGCAGGATGGCGACGTTTTTGAATATCAGCCCTGCCCTTATCTACTTTCTACTCATCCCTGAAAATCTCCCAGGCCCATGGCATCTCTCATTCCCTCCCTGCTCCCACCCACTCTGAATTCCTTTGAGTCTTATTTTCTGTTTCCATTCATCAGACACTTAATTGTATGCCTTATTTTGTATACACTTTTCCTATGTATACTGTATTTTTACAGCTCCCTATAAATTCCTCAAGCTGGAGCATATCTAATAGAGGCTTGTATCCTTCACATCTCACACAGTATTAAATGGGGGTTCAAAGTCCCCAGACAGACTCTGACAACCCCTGGGGACCTTTCCCCACTACAGCCTTGAAAGGGAGGAGATGCTGTTGGGATAATCCAATGATGGTCCCCCTCCCCAAGCCCACCACCACCATCTCAGTGGTGAACACTCATAAAAACAGAGTCTTTGTCAGCCTGGGCTTGAGCTTTTTGTTTTGCCTCTTGGGAATGGTAATTGCCTGCGAGACTGACATTTTCCCTAGCAGCTTCCAAAGGCCATAGTCCAGAACCCCCCACCCCCTGCTCTTTCCTTAGCTTCATTTTAGAAAACTAAGAAAAGCTTTTGCGTTTTGGAAAAACCTTTTCCTTCCCCACCCTTGAATTTTCTGCTTTCAGTAGGTTAGTTCTTGAGTACAACTCCCCAGAGCACTACTTGAACAGAAGTGAGTGGCTCATCCTATCACATGTGCGTCACATGCCCTACCGCAGCCCAGTCATGCGTTGCATGCAGAAGCTGAGGTGACGTTTGATAAAGCGGGCAGGACGCTGGCAACCCCAGTGATTTTTCAAACTTTCACTTAGTAAGCTTGTCTTTTAGTATCTCTTCAGAGTCCCCTGAAAGCACACGTGAAACTTTGCACCGGACAAGGGAAAAAACACGGGCTGTACTTATTAAAATGTTGGCCAAAATACCACTATATTTGATATTGGGGTGACTTTTGATTTTCAATAGACAAAGAATACAACCCTAAAGTTTCAAAATATTAAATCAGCTTTGCAACTTAAATTAAGATAATTTAAGACATTAAGTTTAAACATTATTTTTCAGGTTTAAAATGTTAAATGTGCTTTTAAAACTTTCAAATATGGGAAGCATACAAACAAAATGAAAATTCCTCATTATCTCACGGTTACTGTTATGACCATTCTAACTGTACAGTTGAGAAAGCAAAGGAGAGGAAGAAAAAAAATGAAAGAATATGAGCTTTTAGGTTTTTTTCTAAAAGTGTAAAAAAAAAAAAAAGGCTGTAGAACTAATTCCCAAAATTTTTTAAAGAAACGATATTCATATTCCTAATAACACTTATATTGCCAGGAGTACCATTGCTGTTTCAGAACATCACAGTGTTTTATTGATCAATTAGCTTTACAGAGCTCTAGTTTTCATGTCACAGAGGGCAAATACTTAAAACAACATGCATACATATATTTAATATGGAATGGTTCATGAATTTGCATGCCATCCTTCAGCAGGGACCATGCCAATCTTCTGTGTATCCTTCCAATTTTGGCTTATGTCCTGTCCAAGCAAGCAGTTAAAATAATATCTTACAAAAGTCCTATAGATTACAAAAAATCTTAATAGAAAAAAAGGAAAAATTATATACCACCCCACTACTTTAACAAAGTCATTAAAATTTAGTGCACTTCTTTCCAGCCTTTTGTCCTCTTCTCAGTTTTCTCTTCTTCTTTATTTATTTATTTATTTGGACTTAACATTATTATCAAAAGCAAACAATTATTATAAGACCACTCACATCATTGTCCTATTCTGATTCTCTCCCCCACCCCTTCCCTTTGCTTATTGTCCTCAGGGGTCTAGGGGTTTTATAGAATTTCAGATACAGAGAAATGCCTTTGATATCAGTTAGCTTAGGTTTGAATCTGGGCTCCACTGTGTGGACTTGGGAAAATTACTGAGCAACTTTGTCTCACTTTTCTCATCTGTACAAATTTCTTATTCCTACCCACTGGGTTCTGTGAGCATGAAAAGAGATAATGTATGTAAACTGATGATACAGTGATAAACTCAGAGTAAGTGCTCAATATATAGAAACTATTTTTTTCACTTAAAATTATATCATAGCAATGATTTCATACTTCTATAATCTTCATAGCTGTCATTTTATGGCTAGATAGTAGGGTAATGCAAATATAAATCACTGACTAATTCACTTTCATTTTGTTTGACAGGTTATTTCCAGTTTGAGGCCATCTAGATAATACTGTAATTAATGTATTATTTTTCATATAATACATGTTTCACATTAGTCTATAGATTTCCATAGAAAAATCTTGGAGTGGTATTTTGAGGTAAAAGTATGAAGCTTGACATGGGTCTTGCAACATATCAAAGCATTTTTTTTTAGCTCATTTTTTGTACCTTGCTTTTTTCATTCATAGTTATATCAAAGCTTTCTTTTTTAAAATCATATATTTATATGTTCAATGGACCTTTCCATGTTGTTAGCTCTTTCTATATTCTTTTGATTATTTCCTTAGACTAGATTTACATAAGTATAATTACTTGAAAAAATGGTATGACAAATCATATGGCCTCTTATCTATAGACAAATCACCCTCCAAAATAATTGTATGTACTGATTTACATGACCACTAAGAATTTATGAGTCTACCAATTTAACAACATGTTCTGTTATGATTTTACAAGCTTTGACATTGTAATGATTGCAAAGACCCATTTGTGCTTTCTTTGATTTAAATTTTAAATTACCTGTAAGTTTGGTATTTGATTTTTTGAAATTTAAAGCAAGGAGAACTGAGATGTTGGGAAGCTGCCTGTTTTGATTAGTGGCCTGATTCCATTTCTCCTTGATCTGAACTACTCAAAATTCCAGGCATTAGTTGCTTCCTCTGTATTTCTTGCAGCTGCTCTGTTTTACCATGGAATTCTATTTTTATAGAACAAATGGAACTAAGCAGAAAACATGCTACTCTCTTTGAGTTTACTTCTCCTAAAAGGACCCTGCTGCTGAGAATGCACAGTTAGACACGATGTTAGAGGAAGCACCATAAGCACTCTTAAAAGAAACAATTTCTTATTGGTATCACCAAGGTCTTGTTTTAGAAGTTCAGAAATTTGATTCTGTATACTCAGAATTAGACTAAAAACATGGATGGTGCTAACCAAACTTTGAAAACAATTCCCTACCGTAAAAAATAAAATACCATTAACCTGCAGATCAGAACTTGTTTCAGAACATGCTATTCCCATAGAAAAGTCTATATGAGAGGTAAAATTATAATCGGGTTCTCGGTAGCCATAGACTTAGGATGGGGCAGGGAGTGGGGACAGTGGCTGTAATGATTTCAATGACTGATAGCATCCAGCTGTGTGAATCTGATGCATTCATTGCCACTGGAGTGGTAGGCCTGACAGGTGGTAGGAATGCATGGGCTAGGGACCCCTCTGCTTTGGACAGGCTTGGGATTCACTAACACATTTTTCCATACTGACCACCTTTTCCTAGACTGAAGTCTTCAATTCAATTCCACAATATTTGTTAAGCATTTTCTTTTTTAAAAAGATTTTTATTTATTTATTTTTAGAGAGAGGGGAAGGGAGGGAGAAAGAGGGGGAGAGAAACATCAATGTGTAGTTGCCTCTTATGTGCGCCCTACTGGGGATGTGGCCTGCACCCCAGACATGTGTCCTGACTGAGAATTGACATGGAGACCCTTTGGTTCTCAGGCCAGCGCTCAATCCACTGAGCCACACCAACCAGGGCTTATTAAGCATTTTATATGTACCAATCCTTGTATTAGGTTCTGGAACTACATAAATAAATAAAAATCCCCTTCTGCTCCCCGGCACCTCACAGGCTTTTGGAGAAAACCGAACATATACATAAGTTAAAAATACCATATGACAAGAGCTTGACTGTGTCACAGGTCTAGGATCTGACTTCTTGTCACATGGCTGGCTTGCAGAACTGTTAAGACTAGTTCTGCTATGTGACATGAGCAATTTTTCAAATTTCACTAGGCCTTAGTTTGCTTACATGTAAAATGGAAACAATAATGGCCCCTATTTTATTGAATTGTGAAGTTTAAATGAGATCAACTAGAACAACATCTGGCACATGGTATGAAAGTTAGCTATAATGAAAACCTTAATTAACCTCAGGATGGCTACTGGTAATATGACATAGGCAATCTGATATTTCAAGCTCAGCACAAGGGGGAATGTTAGACAACCCTTCCTAGAACTTTAACACACCTACATGCCACAATAGTCAGAAGTATATTATCAGAAAAAATGGGATGATTAACTTCTGAAAATGTGACATTTTATCTCAAATTAGGAAGTATTTTTGCTCATGGGTCTTATCTGATAGTGATTTTTTAAAAAGAATAGGCTCCTGACATCCAATGCTCTACATTCCAGGAAAAGTCCCTAAGTATATTTTGACACTTTGAGCACCTCAGCATAAAGGTTATCACTTTGATGCTTATGCATCTGTCCCAACATTTTGCACACACCAGGGCTGCACTCAGTTTTGGTTTCCCTGGGTAGTTGTTAACTCCTTGAAGATAAAGTCCCTACATAGCCCCTAACAGAGCGTTGTGTATAGTAAGAGCTCATCAGCTGTTGACTAATTAAATTAATGGTGTTGGTAGTGGACATTGGCGTCTGCCTCTCCAGCATCCATTCCTACTTGGGGACTATCAGACATTCCACTTGCAGTTCAAATGTCCAAAATGGAGCTCCAAACTTAAGACATCACTCGCATATTCTTTCTTTTTTTTTGGTGATTGGTTTAGGAAAGGGCACAAGACATAAGCTTGTCCGAGTACATCTTGGGATTTTTTTCCTTGGAACCCTGGAAAAGTGCTCTGTTTATTTTTTTGTTGTTTGTTTTTTGGTGGATTTGAACATGGAAGGTTTCGTAACTACTGATAGCCACCCTGTAATCATGAAGGCAGACCTAACTCTCATGGCCTTCAGGATTTATCTAGGGTCAGATCTCAGCATATTTTGGGGGACAAGGGCAAAATATGGTTAAGGGGTAAAAGACTTTTGCTCCAAAAGAATTACAGTATGTTTTTTCTCCTACAAATTTAATTTTTTATTTTATTATTATTATTTCGTGGTGGTGTTCTAGAATAGTTGTCCCAAGTTTCCCCCATTTCTCTCTCCTGCCCCACCCATCCCCCACTCCCACAGTCAATCCCCACCCTGTTGTCCATGTCCATGGGTCATTTATACTTGTTCTTTAACTAGGCCCTTCCTCTTCTTTCCTCCCTTATCTCTCTCCTTTCTTAAATTTATATTAGAAGAAACCTAGCTCATATATATGCAGATGGATTCTAAGGGTATTAGATACCCTTAGAACAGAACATGGGGTTGGAGCCAAATTTAGATAGCCTAGATCTAATAAAACTTCCATAGATTTTTAGGCTTAATGCTATGACAGATTGTTATAGTAATAGTCCCCAGGGAATCATGCCACTTTGGCTCTCCCCTGGCTCTCTGACTATCTTTGGCCAATGAGACATTAGCAAATGTGATGCAAACAGAAACCTGAAAAGCACTTGCACACTGGGGCTTGCCCTCTTTTGTGCCATTTATGGATCAGCTTTCATGTTGAAGAGACATGGACTAATCTAATGGATACACATGGCCCAACCAGTAGCTTGCACCAAATCCAAGACATGTGAGTCACCTAAGACCAGCATCCTTCAGTCAATCTGTAAACTGACTGCAAATGCATAAGTGAGCCCAGCTGACATCATGTAAAGCAAAAATAACTTGCATCAGCTGAGCCCAGTACAAATTGTTTACCCGTAAAATCATAAAAACATATATGATAAACATAAACCACTAAGCTCTGTTATAAAGCAAGAGCTAGCTGAAACATATGTATTAGCTCGAATAGCTACGAGTGGCTCTATTGGCTTAGTTGTCTGAAACCTGTGTTCAACCATAGGCTACATTCTATGATGTTCAATGGACAGAATTTCTCTAACGTGATGTACAGGAACAATTCTAAAGGGTTAGAGAGGTATAAGTACCCACCCTTTTGAGTACATGGACAACCTTGGCATCTTTCCTCATCCCACTCGGCTCTGAAAGTGTTCAAGGAATATTCCCTTCACTAAAGCATTGAGAAATGCATTAGTGAGGGAGCCAAGCAATCTTAAACACCTCCGAGTGGCTGTTTTCTGTAGGCCAAGGATGATAGTGGGAAATGCTGCTACTGAGATGGGCTTCCTGATTTCAGTGGGTATGATGTAATCCCAGAGTGGCAATCAGAATTTTTTACTCAAAGGGATCTCTGTTGGTAGTTGACTCTAAGAATTAAACTATGGCCAGACTACCAAAGCATTATTTGATCTGTATAATAGAAATCTGACTTGAGCCCCACAGCTGAGAATCATAGCTTTTTCGATTCCTGGACCTTATCAGTTCACAGATCTGAAGCTCCTGGTTGAAGGGAAAAATAGAACCTCTTGAGAAAGGACCCTGCAACAATGCCACAAATAGTTATGGTAGATCTTCTTCCAAGCCA